TCCCATTTATTATTCTGCCATTAATAAGGTTCGCAGGATATCTCATGAATGAATAAAGCCATTATCATGAAACTTGCCATGATGATTGATATTAGTATAAATTAGAATTGTGACACTTTTCAGTAACTCAAGATCATCGTGACGTCATCCAGGCGCTATTTTGTGGAAATCAACTTTTAATCATATCTTCATAACGAGTCATCAAAACTGAACCATATTTAAATCACATGAACTTCAGGTCAAGGTTCGACATAACATCTCATCAAAATCGGCGCGCGTCTGAATTTTAAAATGCTCAAAATCACTTTTTTTTATCAAAACAGAGTATGTTCTAGGCCATTTAGAGCATTTCGAAAATTATGCACGCGCTTTTTTGTGTGTAACGCCATTACACAACAAAGAAACGCTATTTTTTTTTCTTTCATGTTATTTCATAACGGAATGCGCGTCCGTTTAAGATAAATGGCCGTGCGCACGAGCACATATAATACATAATTCATTACAAATGCAGTTAACAAAATTGTTCACATTTTGCGTGTATTCTCTATGGGACATTACTTTTTCTCAAAACTGGGTGCTACATTTCCGTCTTTCACGAGCAATATCTCCGTCGTTTTAGCTTCGTTTACGCTGAACTTCGAGTATGTTGTAGCTGAGACGATAAGATATCTCAAATTTGCCCTCTATTTTGTCTTAAATTTTAGTTGGACCAGCCCACCTATACTTGTTCCAAACAAGTATTACAAGTCTAGTTTATTATTATTCTTCCTCGAATTTGTTCGCAGGATATCTCAAGACTGAATAAAGCCATTATCATGAAACTTGCCATGATGATAGATCTTAGTCTAACTTAGAACTGCGTGACTTTTTAGAGAGTCAAATTTATTGTGACGTCATCCAGGCGCCATTTTGTGAAAATCAACTTATGATCATATCTTCATAACGGAAAGGAATTTCCCATTTATAATTATCAGGATTAAGATTAATATCCATCCGGTCAATTTCAGGTCAATAAATGCGCGCAAAAATGCGCGTACGCGTTTGTGCGCGCGTAAACGCGCGCGTAAAATTTTAAATTGCTCAAAATTGTCTTAAATTTTTTTTGCATACGTTTTAGGCCATTATAAGCTTTTCATAAAAAATCGCGCAAAACAGGCATTTTGGCGCGTTTTCGTTCGTCACGGCCGAACGAAAAATAATTAATCCTCAATTTGTTTTGACAGGATATTCCTCATATTCTTCTGAACAATTTGATACCATGTTCATCTCTTTATCACTATTAATAACGGAAAGAGCGTCCGTTGAAGATAAATATCAGTGCGTGCGAGCTCATGTATTACATAGCATATATGGGCAAAAACATGCCTATAAAAAATACATCAATGAATAAGGACTGCCAGTTTTTTTCTTCATATTTAGATAGAGTATGAGTCGGAGATATGATTTCATGTCTCATTTGGCCATTAAGTATATTTTTACATAATCATATTGACCTTGGAACTCAAAATACGAATTTGCATATTATGACGTCAACATATTTACGGAAATTGATTGTATCTCTGCTAATATTGATCAATTTTCTTCTAAATTTTAATATGTTGTAGCTGAGAAAATTCTTCACAAGATTATTACAAATATTTATTCAAATTGATGACGTCATGAGATTTTTGCTTAATATGCGTCTTATGCCTATGGGAGGGGATTGATACTACATTCCAGTCTAGACTTGTTCATTATGTTGCGTATGTAGTGCGTCGAAATATCAGTTCAATTATTGGAAGGCTCTGCAATCAGGCACAAATTTGAGCTTGTTTAAGTAAATTAATAGTTTAATCATATAACAATTGTCTATTGAATACCTGAAGGGGGTGCTATACCACTTTTAATCATTGTCATCGTCATTTAAAACCAACAAATCATCATCAATATCGTCATTATCGTATTCATGAATATTATCATTAGATCATCATCGGCACACTTTCATGATACGAAAATAGCTACGTATCACCTAAATCGTCAAAGTGACGAATTAAAGTCTAGTATTTATTTTGTGTCTGTATAGAAGAAATTATTATTATTCTTCCTCAATTTTGTTCGCAGGATATCTCAAGAATGGCAAAAGCCATTGTCATGAAACTTTCAATGATGATAGATCTTAGTCTAACTTAGAACTGCATGACTTTTCAAAGACTCAAAATTATCGTGACGTCATCCAGGCGCCAATTTGTGAAAATCAACATATGATCATATCTTCATAACGGAAACTAATTTTTCATTCATATTTATCATGAATAAGATCAATATCCTTCCGGTCAATTTCAGATAAAAAAACGTGCGCAAATCCGCGCGTACGCGTTCGTGTGCGCGTTTACGTGTGCGCAAAAATTAAAAATGCTCCAAATTATCCCTAATTTTTTTGGCATACGTTTCAAGCCATATGGAGCATTTGACAAAAAATCACGCGTTCTGGCATTTTGCAACATATAATCGCCAAATTTTCTCTGTCATCATGTTGAGCACATTTTTCCAAGCATTTTGATACCATATTCATCTCTTTATCACTAATAATAACGGAATGAGCGTCCGTTCAAGATAATATCCGTGCGCGCGAGCTCATGTATTACATAGTATATATGGGCAAAAACATGCCTATAAAAAGTCCATTGGGATGAATAAGGACTGCCAAATTTTTTTCATATTTTGATAGAGTATGAGTCGGAGATATGATTTCATAGCTCACTTGGCCATTAAATACATCTTGACGTCATCATAATGGCCTTGGAAGTCAAAATACAAAATTGCATATTATGACGTCATTATATTTATGGAAAATTTAGTGTATTTCTCATAATATTGACTGATTTTCTTTCAAATTGCGGTATCTTGTAGTTGAGGCAATTGCCTTCAAGATAAATACACACTACTTTTTATTTCATTGACGTCATCATAGTACAAAATTCAATTAAAGGCCACATTTCAGAATTTTCTTAATTTGAGTGTTATGCCTAAGGAAGGTGAATTTCGTTCAAATCATAAATCTTCATGACATTGATCTTTGAGCACTATCTAGCTTATTTGTATTCTATGTTCTTCCAAATTTTGATACGGTGTAGCTAATAAATTATCTACAATATTGACGTACATCATTTATCATTTCGATGACATCATAATAGTGAAAATTTCAATTAAAGGTGACATGTCAGAATTTTCTTAGTTTGCGTGTTAGGTGACTTTTTCTGACATCCTGATTCTACAAATCTCTATCGAATAACTGAAGGGGGCGCTACACCACTCTTAATCATGGTCTTTATCGTATTTATGATCATTATCATTAGATCATCATCGGCACACTTTCATGATAACAAAATAGCACGTATCACCTAATTCGTCAAAGTGACGAATTAAAGTCTAGTATTTATTTTGTGTCTGTATAGAAGAAATTATTATTATTCTTCTTCAATTTTGTTCGCAGGATATCTCAAGAATGGCAAAAGCCATTGTCATGAAACTTTCAATGATGATAGATCTTAGTCTAACTTAGAACTGCATGACTTTTTAAAGACTCAAAATTATCGTGACGTCATCCAGGCGCCATTTTGTAAAAATCAACTTATGATCATATCTTCATAACGGAAAGTAATTTTTCATTCATATTTATCATGAATAAGATCAATATCCTTCCGGTCAATTTCAGATAAAAAAACGTGCTCAAATCCGCGCGTACGCGTTCGGGGGCGCGTTTACGTGCGCGCAAAAATTTAAAATGCTCCAAATCATTCCAAATTTTTTTTGCATACGTTTCAAGCCATATGGAGCATTTGACAAAAATCACTTAAACGCGCATGCGCGCGCGTTTTTTTGCGCGTTCTGGCATTTTGCAACATAAAATCGCCGAATTTTCTCTGTCATCATGTTTGGCACATTTTTCCAAGCATTTTGATACCATGTTCATCTCTTTATCACTATTAATAACGGAATGAGCGTCCGTTCATGATAAATATCTGTGTGCGCGAGCTCATGTATTACATAGTATTTATGGGCAAAAACATGCCTATAAAAAGTCTATTGGGATGAATAAGGAATGCCAAGTTTTTTTCATATGTTGATATAGTATGAGTCGGACATATGATTTCATAGCTCATTTGGCCATTAAATACATCTTGACGTCATCATAATGGCCTTGAAAGTCAAAATACAAAATTGCATATTATGACGTCATTATATTTATGGAAAATTTAGTGTATTTCTCTTAATATTCATTGATTCTCTTCTAGATTTTAATATGTTGTAGTCGAGGCAATCGTCTTTGAGATCTGTCTACACCAATTTTCATTTAAAAGATGTCATCATAGTAAAAAATTCAATTAAAGGCCACATGTCAGAATTTTCGTCATTTGCGTGTTATGTCTATGGAAGGTGAATTTCGTTCACATCATGAATCTACATGACATTCATCTTTGAGCACTATCTATCTTATTTGCGCTCTGTTTTCTCCCGAATTTGGGTATGTTATAGCTGAGACCATGGTACAAATCTAACATACATCAGAAAAAAACTAAATTAATTGGAGTCAATACATATTCTAAAAAAAGAGATTAGATTTATACAGCAATACATATAACTGTTTTCGAACCTATGATTTTGTAATGATTATTTCCATTTGTATTACCTCCCATGAACGATGTCCCTGTCATGTTTTGTCATGTATGTTTTTTTTTGTTTTTTTTTTGTATATGTAAATATCTTAACTACTGTTCGGGGAACTATGCCTCTACAAGGCCATTTGGCCTTATTTTTTAGTTCCCTTTTTTCATTTTCTTATATATTGCAAATGCTTATCATTGTATATACCTTTGTATTGTTTTTATTGAAAATGAAAATGAATAAAATGAATTGAATTGAATTGAATTTAGTGTAATCACAGTGTAATCAATTAATTATTGGGAACTTGAATTAGCCCGAATGAAATTTTTATTCCTTCCTTTCTGTACATTTATCAGCTCCTGGAATGCCAGGCATTACAGAGCTTACCCCGCATCAGGAAGACAGTGGCACTCCTGGTCTAACAGTATCATGGCAACCTCCTTCCTCGCCTCCATGCCAGCCTACGCATTATGAAATCAAATACTATGTTCTCCAAGGCGATATGTGTGAGGATAACTCGAGGGATCGTATAATGACTTCAGCAGGGACCGTCAATGGTGCAACTTTCACCTTCAATGTCCTGGAGTTGCGTCCCAACTCTGAGTACAGGGTGTTCGTGAGAGGCAGAACCAGTAGCGGTTATGGTGATTCGGATTCCCAATCAGCTACTACAGGATATTCATGTTAGTATTGTGTGTTCATGTACGTAGGGGAGGGTGAGGGTGTGTGTTATGGTGTGAGTATGAGGGTTTGTGTAGGGGTATGTATCAATCACATATATTATTTACATCTGGGAACAGATCCTTTTACACCAATTAAAATCTCAATATCTACTTTGCACGATGCTAGAGTTAGGTCAGTTCTTAATCTGACTAATTTGAACAGTAGGAGAACCATAATCTACACAGGTAGTGGTACGAATATACTTTGAATGAGACCTTGCATCATTGGAGAATATGTTACATGAAATCAGCTGGCCTGAAATTTCTGTTTAGAAAGAAAAAAGAAACATAAACAAGTATGCTACATGGTTTAGAGAATGGTTGAGAAGACAGAGAAAATGGTTACGAACTCAATGAAAATGTAGATTAGCTGATAGTAATAAAATGTAGATGAGGTTAACATGGAAGACTATGTATAAGAAAAATGAATGAGAGTGAGTTTCCCTCCTTTAATTTTACAGATCCTACTGGTCCTCCAACTAATATCCAGTCCGCTTCCAAGAAGAAACGTAGTATTGTCTTCACTTGGGATAAACCAGAATGCGGTAATCGGAATGGACCAATCACAAGCTACGAAGTTATGCTCTCCAATTCTACAGGTAACCTAAACAGAAATAAATACTTTGTAGAGTGCTAAATGAGGTGGAATCCCAGGTATTGCTTGTTAAAAGTAAAGTTTAAAAGAAAATACTATCTGTCCTTCCAGAATAAAGTGCCATTTAATAACATTAAATGGTTAAGCCCTCCGTATTCTTTAATATATCTAGGATTTTCTGAATGCGGTGAGAATCTCGGATCAATGATGAATTCTGGTCAGTACTAGAGTATTGCTGTAAATTAGATGGTGTATTTGTCAGTGATGTATGGATAAAAATATTCAGAAAAATATGGACTAAATAACAAGCATTGATCAAAGGACCACGAAAAATAAGATGCAGTGTTTGTTATGGTGTTGCATCATGATGATGAGTCTTTTGATTTAGTCCATCAACCATACATATACACAAATCTGCGCAATATATTCAAACACATGCTCTCCATTGTTCAATTCCGCGGAGTAATTGTTTAACTTTCCTTAAACAAACATGTAGCCTTGCTACGTCTTCGCGGTACTAGCGTTATACTCCAAGGTGAAATGTACGCTTGATGTATTGTAGAGATGTTTTAGTCCAATGGATAATAATAATAATAATAATAATAATAAAAACGGTGCTCATAAGGCGCTTACCACCGAAGTCAAACAAAATACAATGATAAACAATTACATCTTAAATAAAACAATGCAAATAAACTAAACCTATTAATTACAATACATATGAAATATACATCAATGTGAACAAAGTAAGTTAATCATCAAAAGCAATTTTGAATAGATGTGTCTTAAGACAACAAGGTGCGGGGTTCAAATCCCAACACGGCACTAACGTACTTTAGAAGACGTTATATTGCCACTTCCAACTCAATGGTAAATGGGTACCTGATATGCATGAGCGCTAGTAACTTTGGCGTGTTGGCTATATTAAGCAGGGTAATAATATCAAAGGGCTAAGGGCCAACTGTGTGATGGATAATAATATTCAGGTCTTTATGATAAGCCATTATTATTGCTATTGTTCTTTTCCAGGAGACATGGTTTATCATGGTAATGTGTCAACTGGCGCAGCTAGCGCAGGATATGAGATATCGGACCTCATCCCCTACTCGAATTACAGTATTAGGATCAGAGCTTGGAACTATGAACTAGCAGGGGAGTATGGTCCAGCAATTTGGAAACAGACAGGTGAAGCAAGTAGGTCATAAAATGCATGTCTTTTATTTATATTTTGATAACGATGAAGAAAAGAAATATTTGCGTAAAGGACGAACATTATATCTTTTTCAAATATAGTCGTTTGTTACTAATGCTATGGTCACATTACCCAAAAGTAGCCTGCTCGGCGGCCGAGCGGCGAGATTTTAACCAATTCTGCCCGGCGGCTGCCCGTCCACCGAGCGGCGGCCGCCCAGGCACCGTTTATTTTTAGGGCATCGCTCGGTCGCCGCTGAAGTTTTAGCGCGGAGTTAAAATTTGGGCGGCGCCTGCTCACTTTTCACTCGCCGCCCAAAATACGCTCGGTGCCTGGGCGGTCGCCGCCCGGGCACCGACCTAATCGCTAGGCGATGCCTAAATTCAGCAGCGACCGAGCAGGCTACTGATCGGTCGGTCGCTGCTCTGATTTGTGACCATAGCTTAAACGATGTCAACCGTGTATCATAGAACCGAAAATACAACCTTGATAACAAATCATTTTGTACTCAAAATTTTGAAAGTTTCGACTTGGTAATTTACAGGAACTAATGATATGTGAACATGAACTTGATCAATTCCTTAATTTGTTTTGTTGTTACATTATTCATCCTATTTCCATCCCCTCCCCCAGCAAAAATAAAAAAGAGCGTCGAGAAATCATTCTTTTTAAATAAATGGAACCCTAATTAAAGGGACTTGGTAACATTGTTCAAGTGAGAGATAATAGGGACTTTTAGATTTGCACGACAAGAACGTGGACTGCCACGTTTGACATCCTTTTTAGGCAATGCGACGTCCTTTTAAGGCACTGCCAGTGCATTAAAAGGATGTCACACGTGGCAGTCCACGTTCTCGTCGTGCAAATCTTAAAGTCCGTATTGAGCGGACGAGAACGGCATGAACGTCCACTGATCATGAGTGTCTATGGCAAACCGTTTTAACATTTATTCCTATTTCTTGATATCAAGAAATTATTTTCTGTTGTAAAGCAATGGTAATTCTTGATATCAAGATATAGGAATAAATGTTAAAACGGCTTGCCATAGACAGGCATGATCAGTGCACGTTCACGCGGTTCTCGTCCACTCAATATAAAAGTCCCTAATGGTGCTAAGGTAGTGACTTCAATGCTAGATGTACAATTAAAGATAATCTAAAAGTTTGAGTAGAAATAGACAATTATTAATGATACAAATTGGGAGAAACTGATCTGATCAATTCCTTAATTCCCTCAACTATATTATTACAAATTATCATATAGCTCCGTTTAGTCTCATTTGACAACGCCCCATATCGTTAGAGTCAGCAGCCTAACATGTTAGCCTATGGAATTTTACCCCCCCCAAAAAAAAATCGTTAAAAATTCATTTTTTGTTTAAACGAAAAGCACATCCACCCCGACGTACGTTATCACTAGCTCTTTCATTGGAACCCTCATGTCCCATTGACTTTTGAAAGTTCACCCACCGTAATTTGATCAAAATAGGTTGCAAGCTCGCCATAGCCTATATAACACATGTGAAACAAGTCGAACTTTAGACTCAGTTTGCCAAGCGATTGTAAGGTTTTAGGTCAAGCACACGAAGGATAAGAAGCATGAATTATAATAGATCAGTTCTGATCGGTTCATCATGTCCATTTCATCCAACCCACCACCGTAATTTTTCCATTGAAGATAGGCAAACATTTTGCCGAGGTAAGCAAAAACATGAATATTCATGATCGCCATGGACTATTCGATTATTTACAGAGGGGTGCAATTGTGCACCACATTCAAACTCCCCTACTTTAAGTCAAGTGTTTCATTGTATTATGTAGTTTGGTATGTTTATTTTACTAACTGTTCAATTATCAGATATCAATGATACATGAAGTTTAAAGATATGGAACATGTTCTTGTATTTTGTGTTTAGCAAAGCAATTTCACATACAAATTCACTACCAAGTGTCGTCTAATCCGCCGATTGTCGTCTGCTATATACGTCCAGCGAGCGAAAATGTTACATTTTAGCTGAGTGAAAATCGTCACAAAGAAGAATTTGCTTTATGTACCATTCCAGACATTTAAGTGTCGAAAGATTTTTTAAAGCCTGTTTTATGTCTTATTTTCATGGATAAACGGTTGTTTGGAGAATTTTACTGTTAGAGGGTGTCGCACAGTTTCGCCTTCAGTGAAAACCATAATTATCTTTGAGGCATGAAATTTTTTTCAGGATTCTTTGCATGTTAGAGGGTTAGACAGTAGAAGGAATATAATAAGGAACATTTCATACAAAAATTACGCAGTTTGTTTCATCAACCTTCAACAATGTTACCGAGTCACTTTAAGTATTTATTTTTAGTCATAAAATAAAACGTAATGGAGTTATCTTGAATTCTACATTTCGTGCACCCAAAACCCATGTTGACAGCTGTCCAGGATGGGTTAGTGATTCTGAGTGTGCGTGTGTGATATGTGCAAGTAAAAGAAGATGATATTATTGCTTCCTTCGAAATCACAGTCAATGTGTAGCCTAATAATTATCTTAATTTTTAACATTGCTTGTTGAAATCTATCTTCCGCCAACATTTCCAGTCAGTAGAATTCTCTGAGAATTTCTTTTATTGATACGAACTGACAGAAAACGGGAATGATACTATTTTATACTATCTTCAACGTGTGATAGATTATTAAGTTGTTCGGATCTTAATTATCCTACGACTTTTCTCTATGATGTTTACATTACAGAGCCGGCGCCACCAATCGGAGTAAATCTGCCATCTTCCGACCAGGAGAGCATCACAGTAGAATGGATGTCACCCAACCCTCCTCTGGGCAGGATAATAGGTTACTACATTCTCTACTGGGAGACGTTTGGTAATAGTTCCACGCCCAGAAACGTCAGCTTCTCGTGTCAGGACGGGTTATGCTTTGACATTAACTACAGGTTTTCCAGAGTTATTCCTGATCTCCGGCCGGACACGAATTATTCCGTTCAGGCAAGTGTGATTCTTGAAGGCGTTATCTAACAGGGATCTGTACATTGATGAGGATATACGCATGATTTGATAACAAGAAGTGACGGGAATGATAAATTTAAAAAAAAATTATCGAAAAGAGGCATATTAAAGCGTGTTGCCTTGCACTCATCAGAATAAAACCCAATAAGCGCAAAAGGGAAACGAATTATGATTAGATGCAGATGAAATGTGGACATGAGCCTAGCAGTTACTGGCCACTTAACCAGGATGTGGAAATGGACCCATGGTTTTAAACAACATCCATCAATACTAAGAGTTTTTGTCGGCATGTTCTGCAGACATGGCATCTTTAATCTTTCATTTTACTAAGTTTAATGTAATACATGAAGCTTGACTATGTGTAGGCAACTCATTATAGAATTTAGGGAGTGAAATTAAAAGAATGACACCGGATGAACCCAGGAGAAGCAAATCTGTCGGTTTTTCCCGAGTTTACCAATGAAAAAAAAAAGAAGTCAAAACCCACCTTGGTGTGGGGCTCAGTTTTGTGTGAGCCCGCATGAGTTCCTTCCCACAACATACATGCATTATGTATCAACTAAGCAACATAAGTATAACAATAACATCCTCATCAATATTCAAAAGGAAGTCAGTCATGTGACTACATACTAAATATTCAAAGAAAGTGGGCCAATCAAAAGAAAGTGTGATGTGTCATGTTATGATGTGAAGAGAGGTCAAGGGACAGAAAAAAAAAGGTATAAAAAAAGGGTATATGTAAAAGGTGTCAGAGTGAACAAAGGAAAAAGAAAAGAAAAAAGAAGAACATACTTGGTGGTGAATAGGGACACGGAGTCTATAGAAATTAAAGAGGCTAATTAAAACAACCATTGAACTTACAACTTTTAAGAAAACAAAGTGAACTTCAAAGGTTATCTTTGAGTACAATACACACTCCTACATTGGTATTTTAATTCTTTCTGATGAAATGCATACATGATAAACCATTCGTGCTTATTGGAGAAAATGTCAGGATGTCCATATCTTTTCTGTTCATCCATTCGAGGTCAATCTCTAAACGTCCATAATTTGTTCTAATCTGTCAGTACTTTCCCGCTCTTCTTCTCCCTTTTGTATTACGATGTTTTTCTTTCAATATATAGGTCAATGCGGAGACCATTCGTGGTGTTGGTGACTCAAGCCCGGACCAACCCGTTGTCAGGATTACATCAGAAGGAAGTACGATATTAATATTCTAAATTCTATAATGTCCCATCAAGAAGTTTTAAGAGATGGAGTCCTATCTAGCTCATTCCCTTTGTACCATCTTCGATGCCGCCTGGAGAAAATATGTCAGGAATGTGCTTAAAGCGTTTGTCACAGCCCACCGTGCGTGTTTTTAGTCCGTATGGTGTTTGGGGAGGCCACGGCCGCCACGTTTTTCTGAAAACGTAGGGAGGGAGTGGCAAAGGCAGGGAGGGAGCACCGGAAACGCACGTCACACGCACGCCACGCCTGGCCGTAAGCGGTTGCGTGCATCGCACGTTGCGCACGTGGTAAGTGCGTTGTACGTGCTTACAACGTACGGTCTCCTTGCGGTTGCCACGTTTTCGTATGGAGGCCGTACTTACACGTGCTGCTCACGTACGGTGTCCTTACTCACTCGCACGTTGTAAGAGTGCGTGCACGTGCGATGGACTCGGTGAGTTTTTCCTCCCGATGTCGGGGTATAAATAGGACGACATTCCGATGTTCTCCAGAAGTCCCAGCTGCTGCTGCCTCAAGATGCCGCCCATTCCACCGCAGAGACTATACAGTGCGTCCCAGAAAAAACGAAACCGAGAAGTATCGATGTTCTATCATAACTTAATCACAACTATAATTAATGAATGATACATATTTGGAAAGCTTAGAGTCTCCTCTTTCATGTGATGCTACTCAGATAATGCATATTTCACGCATGAGTGATTAAAAGCAATTTGAAGGAAGGAAACCAAAAAGACATTTGGCGGGCGTTATCTGAATTTCGAAGAAAAATTCACATTTCTAGAAAGTTGAGTTTCTGCCCTTTCATATGCCACCTCAATCAGGAAAAATGAGAGAGGAATGACAAAGTTCTGTTTGTTTAAAGTAGTGCTTGCATTTCCATAGTTTTATCAAACGAATTCGTTTTCACTGGCTGCCTGCCGTATCAATAAACGAAATAAACAAAAGACTTAACTCCGTTTCGTTGACAATCAGCCGTAGACGAGTCTTCATGCATGGCTGATTGTCAACGAAACGGAGTTAAGTCTTTTGTCAAATCTGCTTTTTGCTACGGCAGGCACCCAGTGAAAACGAATTCGTTTGTTAAAATTATGAAAATGTAAGGGCTACTTTAAACAAACAGAACTTTGTTATTCATGGATCATTATACTGCATAAATCAGAGCGCACAACGTGCGTTGTAAGTGCGGAGTACGTGCTTACCCGGTACGGTCTACGTGATTGCTGCGTGCTCATTGGACAGTTGAACTGGGGAAGTGGCGAATACTGGCACGGACCACGCACTTATCACGTGCGCAGCACGCACGTGCTAAGTGTGCCTTCCGTAGAGCAAGTGACCGTGAGAAACAAATTATATATATATACAGGCTTCCAGTACCTATGCGCACTGCAAATCAAGAAAATCCTGTCTGTTGGAAAGAAGTTATCCCATTCTTTAACTTTATAAAAAGAAATAGGTAAAAACTTGTTCAATATTTACGCAGGTAGAAATATATTTAGCTTCATCTTTGCCTGAGAAAATTAAGCTCGGAAGTCCATTAAAATGTAATACGAGTTGCACGACTAACAGGCAGTTCTCTGTGTAATAGTTATTGGTTGGTGAAACGTCACCCGTCTAGAATACAAACCGCTCTCCTGAAATGTAGTATATTTCGCATTATTTTTTTTTCTTTCTCTCTCTCTTTGTATTGAATATAGTTTCAAGTGCATCCGTTTCTTCATCTGGGAATCAGCTACGAGTTAGGTGGAGTGTTCCGTCTCAATGCGATGTGGATTACTACAGATTATCATATCAACTCATCTCACGTAAGGCATGTCAAGATGTTTCTGTAATAGATGCTCCAGTCTACGAACTCAACGTCACATCAAGTTTCGCATATGTCTCCAAATCCATTTCAAACTTGGAATATTACGCCACTTATAACATCTCCATCATAGCTGTGATAAGGAGAGCAGAGAGTCTACCTATGAATGTTAGGGGAGACACACGAGATGGAGGTATGTAAACAATTATGCTAATACTAGCGTTGGCGTATCTATGAGGAGGAAGGGGCACTTGCTCTGGGTGGCACTTGAATGGAACGCAAAACACGCAAAAGAGAAAGAGAAAGGGTATAAGGAGAAGATAAATATCATTATAATATAAACTCCTAATTTGCATAACAAATTTGTATTAGAAATATTTTTGTAATAAGGTTTAAAATGCAAAAGTTTCTAAAGCTTGGTTGCCTATGGCCTTGGTCGCGTATGTCCCTTCAGGTCCCGAAATTTCGCACCCCAATATAAAATATACTTTTTATACAGTATGCTCTCAAGGGTTCAAGATTTATTTTCATGCAAATTATCATCAGCCTTTATTTAAATATAAGACAAAGGGCAAATGCAAAACTGTTAAAGTGATTTGTAAATGTTAAACATTTGAAAGTAATCGTAATTTTTTTAACCATAATCCCGAGATTCGCCACGGAATACTAAATGTCGTATTATATGCATGACATGACAAGTATTAGTCCACGTAATAAAACACATATCGAATCGTTATTTTGTCCTGGAGTTCGTTTACCGTCTGTGGTGTTCTTTAGGCCCTGGAAGACAAAGAACCTTCTATTTTTTTGTAAAGTTATTACGGAGAGCCTTACGTTACCCTAAAAACAAATATAGTCACTTTCCGTAATAATTAATTCTATTTTTTAAATCTGGTTTAATCAAGTACATCCGAATTCCTGTTTTCCATTTCTCCTTTGGATTTAACTCTTATATCTACTTACATCTGCTATATTGTTAATTAACTATTCAACACTGTGATTTTCTTCACAGACCCCTCTGCTATCGAGTCAGTGTCGTACACCTCTACTGCCCATGCCTTGCGCTTTGTGTGGGTGGAACCCTCTTGTGAAAGCCGACATGGTGTTTTTGACCGCTACGAATACGACCTATATGATCCTACTGGTGGGGGTAGATATGTCCGGTATCCAACGACCATACGCAGAAACTATGTACTAATACCTGGTCTTGATGCTTGCACAGAATATCGCTTCAGAATAAGAGTAGTTAATACCCCACTGAGAAGGAGTGAATGGCACATGGAAATGGCATCGACTAATATATCAGGTTTGCGAAATGAGTTATAGGCCTACCGTACATGTGTATTGCTTATACAGACATGGATTTTGCAATTCTTCCGTTGTACACATTGGCACTGTGGGCGATTAAAGAAGAATTGGTTCTAAGAAAAAGCAACGGGAACTGCATTGATTCAAATTGTAATTCAAATTGGCTTTAATTTTATACTGTCCATCTCTTGACGTGGCTCCAAGATAGGTAAATAGCTTTTACTGCTAGCCTAGTTAAAGGCTCATGAATAATACTAATCTAATATACATCAGAAAAACCTAAATTTAATTGAAGTCCATAATATTCTAAAGATAAAGATTAGATTTAGTAAAATCACAGTGTAAAATCAATCAATTATTGGGAACCTGAGTTCGCCTGAATAAATGTTAATTCCTTCCTTTCTGTACACTTATCAGCTCCTGGAATGCCAGTTATTACAGGGCTTACCCCGCATCAAGAAGACAGTGTCACTACTGGTCTAACAGTATCATGGCAACCTCCTTCCTCACCTCCATGCCAGCCTACGCATTATGAAATCAAGTACTATGTGCTTCAAGGCGATATGTGTGAGGATACCCCAAGCGTTCCTAGAAGGAATTTAACAGGGACCGTCAATGGTTCAACTTTCACCTTCAATGTCCTGGAGTTGCCTCCCAACTCTGAGTACATGGTGTTCGTGAGGGGCAGAACCAGTAGCGGTTATGGTGATTCGGATTCCCAATCAGCTACTACAGGATATTCATGTTAGTTTTGTGTGTTCATGTACGTAGGGGAGGGTGAGGGTGTGTGTTTATGGTGTGAGTATGAGGGTCTGTGTACGGGTATGTAGCAATCACATATATTATTTACATCTGAGAACAGATCCTTTTATACCGTCACCATACGAAAAACTGAAATCACTTTCTAACTGCTTAAAGCTACACCAATTAAAATCTCAATATCTACTTTGCACGACGCTAGAGTTAGGTCAATTCTTTATTTGATAAATTTGAACAGAAGGAGATTCATAATCAAAACTCGTAGTTGTACGAATACACTTTGACTAAAACCTTGCAAAATATCATGGGAGAATATGTTAAATGAAATAAACTGGCCTGAAAATTCATTTTAGACAAAAACACTCAAAGAATTATTAAAAAAATTATACTACAGGGATTAGAGAATGGTTACGAAGACAAAGAACGAGATTATGAACTCGCTGAAAATGTAGATTAGCTGATATTAAAGAAATGTAGATGAGGTAAAAAATTGAATACCAAGAAAAATGAATGAGAATGAGTTTTCCTCTTTTATTTTACAGATCCTACTGGTCCTCCAACTAATATTCAGTCCACTTCAATCAAGAAACGCAGTATTGTCTTCTCTTGGGAGAAACCAGAATGTAGTGATCGGAATGGACCAATCTCAAGCTACGAAGTTATGCTCTCCAATTCTACAGGTAACGTAGTAAAACCTAAAGAGGAAAGAGGGAATGGAAACCTTGTCTAGGACTAAAAGGGGTTGTCTAGCTTTCTCCCTTGTATATGTAGTAAATATTTTTCTCCTTTTTGTTAAAACTCCAATTTGCTCTTATCATTATTGTAAGTTCTTAGTTTGCTGTAAGTTTTCCTTACTTCTGTATTATCTATTTTCATGTTTTCTATGTCTATAGGGACCCCTCTGTAAAGCAGCATTGTTATGCGAACAACGCTGAGTAGAGCCATCCCTTCGTCTTCCTTTTTATAACTGTGTCTTTATGATTGTTAATGTATATTTGTTGATGTTTTTTAAATGACGGAAAATAAATACAATATAACCTTAGGTGTAAAAGAGTCCATACAATTTTGATCGATACAATTTTCAGCTTTCCTTCAAAAAACATGTAACCTAGCTACTTTATGTCTTCGAGGTACTAGTTTTATACTCCTGAGTAAAATTGACGCTTGATGTTTCGTAGAGGTTTTGTAGTAGTCTAATGGATAAGTCGCCAGACTGTAGACCACAAGGTACGGGGTTCAAATCTCAGCACGGCACTAATGTACTTTAGCAAGACGTTACTTTTGCCACTTTCAACACAATTGTAAATGTATCTGATATGCCTGAGCGCTAGTTACTTTGGCGGCTCGGCTATAAGCAGGATAATATTGTATAAGGGCCATGAACGTCACTGTGTGATGGATATGAGCGCTTTATTAGAAACCGTTATCATTATTCCTGTTGTTCATTTCCAGGAGACGTGGTTTATCATGGTAATGCCTCAGCTAGCGCAGGACCTGAGCTATTTGAGATATTTGACCTCATCCCCTATTCGATCTACAGGATTAGGATCAGAGCTTGGAACTATGAACTAGCAGGGGAGTATGGTCCAGCGATTTGGGCACAGACAGATGAATCAAGTAGGTCTCAAAATGCATGTCTTCTAGTTCTATTTTGATAACGACGAAAATTATATCTATTTCCAATATATATTTGTTTACAATGTCAACGGTGTATCTACAGAACCAGAAATACAACTCTGATAAAAATCATTTTGTAATCAACAGTTTGGAATTGATCATATACAGGAACTAATGTCATGACAACATGTACTTGTACAAATCTTTAATTTGTTTTGTTGTTACATTATTCGCCCTTTTTTGTATTCCCTCCTCTTTCAAAATCAATGGAAACCTAATTAAGTATTTATTTCCAGTCATAAATAAGACGTAATGGAGTAATCTTGAATTCTAGATTTCGTGCACCCAAAACCTTTATTGAGAGCTGCCCAGGATGGGTTACTGATTCTGAGTGTGCTTGTGTACAATATGCGGGTAAAAGAAGATAATAGTATTGCTTCGAAATATTTTGCTCCTTTCAAAAGCACAGTCAAAGTTATAATTATTTAATGTTTTTTAACATTGCTCGTTAAATTCTATCTTCCACCAACATTGCTAGTCAGTGGATTCTCTATGAGAATTTTCAACAGAAAACGAAACATTTATTTTATACTATGTCCAACGTGTCAGTGATAGATCATTGAGTTGTTTCGTTCATTTTTATCCTACGAATTTTCTCTATGATATGTACATTAAAGAGCCAGCGCCACCAATCGGAGTAAATCTGCCATCTTCCGACCAGGAGAGCATCACAGTAGAATGGATGTCACCCAACCCTCCTCTGGGCAGGATAATAGGTTACTACATTCTCTACTGGGAGGCGGATGATGTTGGTGCCACTCCTCAGACCTTCGGCATCGAGTGTCGGGACGGGCTGTGCTCTGACATTAACTACAGGTTTTCCACAATTATTCCCCATCTCCAGCGGGACACAAATTATTCCGTTCAGGCAAGTGTGATTCTTGCAGGCGTTTTGTAAATGGATTCTGTATATTATAATAAGATGTACATTATTTTTTCATTAAAGGTATTACAAAGTTTTGGTATGGGGTCATGAATTTGGTTCAAATGAAGATATTAAAAGCATATGCGATCCTACAATATTCAGTGATCGTTGTCGCGGTTGAAATCGAGTCTAAAGTTATGAAATTGTAAATAATAAACTCTTTATGTTGTATAGCTCCCTCTCAAGGTCAAGATATTAATTAAGCTATAAAACAATGATTCTTGACTAAAATCGACCGATTAGCTATTTCCGTTTGGAAATTATATATCACAATTACATATTCTGAGATTTTCATGGTCGCAGCTACCATTGTACGGTCGTAAGCGCTTTTTGAAATTTATCAACATTTACCGGGAGCACCGGTACATTTTTTATATTGCATTTTTCTCGAAAGCAGAAGTGTTTTAGGGGCTAAATTTTCTAGTGCTTATAATACGTCCACAGGGGCATCCAATATATAAAAATTGTAAAGAATCACTATCCACTCAATTCCAAAATTTCCCAAAACTTTGTATTACCTTTAATAATATGATAACGAACTCAAGGTTTAAAATAGTATCCATCCGTAAAATGTGTTGTGAAGATATTACTAAAAGACGTAAAGCTTCACGATATTAAAGACAGCTCATTATAGAACTTAACGGATGTCTTTCAAAGGATGACGCGGGATAGAACAAGGAGAAGCGAATTGTAGGTTTCCCGACCTTTCTAATGAAATATGAAAAAAGAAAAGAAATATGAGTATGGTGAAAACAAAAAATTACACCATCTTGGTATCTATATTCTTTCTGATGAAATGCTTTTATAATAAACCTTTCATGTTAAATTAAAAAAAAGTCAGGAGGTCCATATCTTCTCCTTCCATCCATTCAAGGTCAATCTCTAAATTGTCCATAATTTATTCTACTCTGTAAGTCGTTTCCCGTTCTACATCTCTCTTTTCTATCACCATGTTTTTCTTCCATTGTACAGGTCATGGCGGAAACCATTTTAGGTTTTGGTAGCCCAAGCCCGGACCCACCCGTTGTCAGGATTACATCAGAAGGAAGTACGATATTCATTTTCTCATTTCTATGGTGTCCCATGTAGATCAAAATAATTATTGTAGAAATATTATCACCCCATACAAAAAGGGAGAAAAAGAAAAAACGTTGAGTAACATGGTAACACAAACTATATAAACATCACATGTTCATTTTACACAATCGCAGAGACTTTCAAGAAATCAACTCGAGGGTGATTTCAATACCGTATATCGTATTGGCTATGTAAAAGACATCGTCAGATTACGTAATAACGCCGTTGAAAACTTCGCACACTTTATTAGATGAGGCACAAGGCTATTGAAACTGCCTTATGGCGATAATTTAAAGATTTTTCGATGATAATGATAATAATACTATGTCTTGTTTCACCAGGGTAGCCTCATTAGTGTTTGAACTGTTCTCCCTGACGGCCCTGGATTCATGTCATTACCCCCCATGAAAAGGTGCGCAAACATTGCAGGAATGTCCTCCTACTGGGCACCCATTCACCTTACCTGGGTGGAGTGTGGCAAATATAGATAAATATCATTCCAAAAGACATTAGTGCCGCGGCGGGACTCGTTAGATGGAAGTGTGCATGTACATGATGTAACTAAACATGAGTGTTTGTTTGGACATCAAGAGATCCCATAATCCCCGAGTATTACCTAGTTATTAGTTAAGTGTATGCAAGGAAAGACTGCATGGCTACTCAAAAATAAAGGATGATGAATCCTTTCACCATGTATTGCAAAAGTGATCAATATATGTAAGGCCGTTGATGACTTTATTGACATGCCCCAGACGTATGGAAAAGGGCACACGTGTGCTAAATAACAGACATACGTCTGCTAATTGACCAATCACCGCCTGTTATTTAGCAGACGTGTGCAAGGTGCGATAGCACACATCTGCTAGTTTATTAGCACAATTCAAATGACACAAATCTACAGTAGATGTTATATCACTGATATTCCCTTCATAAATACAGCGCAAAATAATGCAAAGAGAGAGAGAGAGAGAGAGAGAGAGAGAAAGAGAAACGAAAATGTTTTGTCAATGCTATAATTTTTGAGAAGCTTCTAACCTTAACAAGAAGATCGTATACAAATATTGACTTGTATTTACTTCATTATTAATCTTATATCCTGCTTTACAGTTCCTAGTGAGCCCCAGGAGGTGGCTGTTTCCAGCAGATCAAAATCTTTGCTGATTACCTGGAAGGAGCCGAGGTACCCCCGTGGAAAAATATCATATACGGTAACCTCAAAACTAAAATTCAAACGAAGATCTAATGACGGTTTCTGTGTATCCGAACTTTAATTATTGTTCTAACATTCTCTCTGGAGTTCTCTTCTTTGTCAACTATTGTTTTCTTCTAAATTAAGTTACCAGTATTTTCTGTTAGATTAATGCAAAACGTGAACTATTATGGATCATTGAATGAAAAAGAACTTTCTAAACTAGTACTGCTGCGAACATTTTCGGCAATATGTCGCCGAATGGTTTCATCCGATTGCTGAGATAGGATCGAAATCTTGATGTATAACTATATTTAAACAATTTCTAAAGGAAACATGTTTTTGTTTAAATATATGAACGAGAAAGAGTAAATTCATGACCAAACTGTTCATTTCTATGCTGAAGTATGGGTACAATTGTGGCTTTTGTCCAACCAATATTTTCAGATGAGCCAAATAAGCTTCTCAGTGGAGTTTACCAGTTGGCGATTCAAGTCTCAATAACAAAACTCTTTTGGACGCCCCCCCCCCCCCCCGAATTTTCTTCATGGAGTTGGATGTTACCGATCTTTTGAAAATGAACCGACAAAGACTTTTCCAGTCGTTCCCAAAGTAATTGCAAATATCCCTACCGTGACCTCAAAACACATCAGTGGATGACAGCATTATTCACAATTGCGTTTTCGGGTCTCTTTCTCTCTCTCTCTCTCTCTCTAGCTGGCTTACAAAGTAAAAGGAAAGCCATACGACAGATCATTCCAGCCAGAAGAATCGTTTACAATGAAAGAGGTAGCGGGAGCCTCTTCGAGCTTTGTGCTTGGTGATCTGGAACCAGCTACACTCTATGAGGTCTACGTGGTAGCGTCCACAAGCAAAGGAGAGGGGGAGTCTAGTCAGCATGTTGAAGAATTTACGGAACCTCCTGCAGGTATTGGAATAAAAATGTTGGAAGGTGGAAGTTATGAGACATGAACATATTTTAAAAGGGATTTTAATTTGTGAAAGGGCAGTGTCGAAATTGTCGTAAAGGTTAAATACGATTGCAAATTTACATGATAAATCTATCTTGATAATGAAGTTGACGACAATTGGCCAATCCCGTTACCACTAAACTTGTCTGGGTGTTTATTATCTCTGACCACAGACCCCAATGTTTAACCATTTCAAATCTCTATGGCAACTCCCATCAAATTATTAAAAAACACTGCTTACACGATTCTTTATAAATCTAGATGATGAGGTTCGATTTACAGCAGGGACAACAAGTCCAGGTGCCACGTGGTAGATAGAAGAAACTTTACTGCAACCGTCTACTTCTACTTTAAAAAAAAAAAAAAAAAAAAAAAGTACCATTAATATCGAACTTTTATTGCTAACATATGCCGGATACAAGTTCTAAGAGAGATACTAAGAGGTATTTTTGTACTAGTCTTGCAGGTTTACTTAACGTGTGCGACTCTAAACAGAGAATAATATTGATTTTAATATTGGATAAAAGTCGTCGTTCAATGATGTTTCAGTTTGATGTTAACATCTCTTTTTTGTAATGTGCCATAGCTGACGAGCTTCCAAAGCCCAACCCACCAGTGATAGTGTCTTCACCTAACGGTTCGCCTACCATTCAGTTTAGCGATGTGCTTGAATCTCCATATATAACGCAAGTATTTTTGCAAGCCGTGTCTCGCGTTCGCCACACTATGAATATGACGGACAAAGAAAGCGGACAAAATATACATTTCCTCATTCTACCCTCATTCTACCCTCAACAATTGCTATGGTAGACAAAGGAACATCCCTCCACTGCTATTATGTAAAAATGTTTAGAACAGGTGAATATGCATGTGACACCTGTTCTACTGATTTTTACATAATAGCAGTGAAGGGATGTTCCTTTGTCTACCATAGTAATTGTTGAGGGTAGAATGAGGAACTGTATATTTTGTCCGCTTTCTTTGTCCGTCATATTCATAGTGCCAGCTACATATTCCAAGCGATGATTTTCGACCTTTAATTATATAAATCTGTGAATCATGTGTATGTGCATAATTAGGCCAGCGCCTTGAAACAGTAGTAATAATCGCTATATAGATGCTATTACGTTATTTTCATTGTTATTATTATTATCATAATTGAATTTACTATTACTACCAATGATACTATCATCGTCATTTTTATTTTATCATTATACCAATGTCTGTCTTTTTAACGCACTGCTCTTGATCTGCGCAATGCTCTTTTTAAAGGGAGAAGCCGGGAATACATTTAGTGGGCCAACGGGTTTCGGTACTGTCTTTGAGACAAGACAGATGGCCATTTTGAACGTCAGAGTAAATTCATGCTACGTTTACACTATGTTCCCGGCGGCCACGGCAGCCCCGTTTGCCCAAAACGTAGTGCGCCATGGGGTTTAGACCAATTTTATCTCTGGATTCAAGTTTTGTTAAGTCTTGCAGAGTTTTCTCACGGTCTACCACGGTATCCGTGACGGGCCATGGGGGAAGGGGATGCTGAGTCCCGGAGGTTCCAAGGCGCACTACGGTTCGGCCCGCGTTCTACCACGGATGTCAGAACGTTCCCTCCCGGCCCATCACGTTCTGATGGGGTCCCTCACGTTCTGTTGGGGTCCCTCATGTTTCTCACGTTCTGATCAAGTTCTGACACGTTTTTCACGTGCTGTCAGGGCTTTCTACGGATGAAACGTGGACGCCGGGCAGCTTTGGAGCACGACTGTGCCCACGGTATAAAAAGTAGGCCTCCCAAGCACTACTGGTGGTGGTGGTGGTGCAGGACGGAGGGCCTTCGAACGTCTTGGCTTCTTCGGTGGCATAGCTTGACCTTCTTTCTTCATATTGTAGATGCAGTAATGTGTCGTCGATTGCTCAGACTCGAATGAAGCTCCTGCCGCGCTCGTCTTTTATATACTACCTCCCGACCGCGTGCGCCGTGTCAGAACGCAACGCGCCCGTAAACCGTCAGTCGCCGGGATGCGCCGTGATTAACCCGACAAAACGGCTACCATACACCCTGCCCTGCCGTGAGAACCGTGGCAAACCGTGGCAAAACGTGGCAAAACGGGAGAAAATGCGCAGCAACCGTGAAGCAACCGTTACAAAACGTGCACTAAACTTGGCAGACCGTGACAAAACTTGAACAGACTGTAAGATGCCGGGGAATGTGCGGGCCTCCCGTCCCACTACGGACCACCTCCAAGTTTTGTTACGGCCTATTACGGACTGTCACGTTTTGTTACGTTCACCCCGTTTTACGACGGCCTACTAGGTTTCTCATCCGCACTGCCCGACTGCCGTGGCACATTTTTTGACAGTTTAAAAATCTGACACGGTATCCACGGCAATCACGGCCTGTCACGTTTGCCCATACGGTCCCCCGCGTTGTGTCAAGTCAATCCCGTTACGTCCACGGTGGCCTGAAACGTGGTTGCCGTGGCCGCCGGGAACATAGTGTAAACGTAGCATTACATTCCTCCTACATTTTCATCATACCTCTCACAACTTTTTTAATGTACAAGCTCTTGGTGTATTAATTGGTATATGGGTAAATTCATTCATTCATAAATTGTGAAGGCTACTTTACATCAAAAAGTAATGTTACATTCGGTCTGCCACTCAGTCTCATGTCATGGAAAGATGTATAAAAGCTGGAGCATCAACATTATTTGCACAATGGCCTAAATTGATATTAATTTTCCTCATCCTTGCTTTAGAATAAAATAATAGTTATTGAAATAAAGGAAAAAGTGACAAGAGGGTATATAATTATGACAAATATCCCTTTGAACTCTCAGGCACATACTTGTTGCTGTTGAAGAGAGAATTCCGGTAACAAGGCGCCGACGTCAACAGGCAGCGTATGGATCCTATGCCGAGAATCCCTCCTCATACATAGCAGCTAACATCAGCAAAGATGATCTTCCGATAGAGCTAACTATAGGGGATAACGAGACTTATGGACATTACCACAATGCACCCCTCAGAGAGAAGGCGATATATGATGTACGAACAGGTGTTGAGAGCAACGTTGGAGGACAGGTACGATTTTTCGTTGGACGTAAATGTCCCAAGTGACTGTCGGCCTACACGATGTAGTGGCTTACGGTTTCGTAGCATAATTATATTGTGGAAATAATGTTTAGGTGCAAATATCGGCGAAAATGCCTAGGTCACATTTGCCGCCGCGGCCGTGGAGTCCAAATATCTACGGCCAATAGCAATTATAGGACCGCCGCAGCATTCCCACGGTCACATACAGTAGCGGTCAAATAATTATGTTAGGGAGCCGCACGGCGTATTTTGAATTTGTGGAGAAAGAAAAGCTGCGACTGCCGTACGGCCTTTGAAGTGATGACGCAAGATCGCCTTAGGGCGTCCCTTCGGCGGCCGTAGCTTTTTGACAAATACTAAGGCAGACGCAATGTAGCCGTAAGGTGCCCGCAAGGCGACCGGAGGGGGACCATACAGCGACTGTCCGTCATTACTTCAAAGGCTGTACGGCAGCCTCAGATTTCCGTTCTCCACAAATTCAAAATACGACGTGCGGCTACATAATGTGACCGTGGGAAAGCTGCGGCAGTCCTATAATTGTTATTGGCCGTAGATATTCTAGACCGCAGGTATTAGGAACAATAATGAGGGGGTAATAATTTGTGGTTGCGTCGTGTGTAAATGATATTGTGATCATTGTCTAATTAAATATTGCTTGTACACTAATTCTACACATCAGAAATATGCAGCATGCGGTTTTTATTAGAAGACAGTTTTTTTGTGGAAAAAAACACAACAACACATTATGGATCAAATAATTCAAGCGTTATAGGTTAACAGTATTTTGTAAAGATTCGTGCTACATAATTTGATGGACCATTAAAGATAAGCCAGATTTTTAAACTTAAAGAGGAATTAACCTCGCGACTATGATTTATTATCATGACATAGAGAGTAAAACAATGTTTCATTTGATAAAAAGTTTTGCTGTAAGCCAAATATTAGCATCTTGCAAGTCCAATAAAGGGATCCCAATTCGCCATATTTCAGACGTCGTCTGCTGCCCAAGGAAGATGCCATCGTGTCGAAATTTCCCTTCCACAACTTCCGGGTTGTGACGTATCGCACGGAGAACTGATGTAGCGCGGCGCGCGTGTTAAATGCAATACACGTCAATGCCAAGAGTTTGGGTGTAATAATTGTTCCAGTGTAATTGTTCCTGGAAACCAGGGGGAAATCCTTTCGTCGATTTCTAGACCCGCACAATCGCAATGAAATTTTCAAGCTATAGCAGCTCCGAAGGTGGAACAATTTTTAAATAAAAAGTATTAGTACGACAGGAAAGACGATGTGATCTGCAGTGATCATTTTGTAGTGCACATCAGGGAAACCTACGTACGCAATATCGGTCGACTCCATGCGAAACGTCACAGAACGGGCCGTGCGGAAGCACAATGACGACGTACTTCAAGTTTCCAGAGCCGCGAACGACGAAGGATTCTGAAGAAGAGTTACGTCCTCCCTTTCGTCAAAATATATGTTTTTAATTTGTTCTGATAATGTTTTTGATGACCTACAAACTGAAATGTACATGTAGTTTGAGGTTGATTCCCCTTAAATCGCCGTTATGAATTCAAAACAATTGAAAGTTGGCTAACTACCTGTCAAAACCTAAGTTCACGTGGAAGTGCAGAATATTTGGCCATTGTATGTATATCGGAGAGGCGTTAAAATGTGCTATGCGCTTCCCTGGTATAGAAAAGGTTATACTAAACTTCATTAAAACTGCCACTAGATAAATACACGAACATCTCATTTAAAAACATTACTAATTAGCTAATTTCTTGATTACCTTTTATTTAGAAATCCACCCTTTTCGGAGATCCATCTGAAGTACAGCCAGGTAGGAACGCATATTTTATTAGATTCTTGTACATTTGTAGTTTGAAAGTGCTTTAGCTTTTGAATGGAAATTGGCCTATGATTTAAACAGATATGGCACATTTCCATTACTTAAACTTTTAACTTCTATTCCCGAACTTACGGATCTCTTCACTATATTCAATATCACTGCTCTCAATATCACAATTAACTACGAATAAGTAAGCATACATTGTTAATTAGTACCTAAACAAAAATTGTTCTCTACGATCCAGAAATGAAAGTGGTAAATGCAGTCAAAATTCATTGAGCAGATTTCTCGAAGTGAATGACTTTTGCCCAAGATTCCTGATTTGCATCAATTTTGGATCCAAGGTCTGGCTTAGTAATGAATATCTATAAGACTATAGCTATGTTTTAAAAGCAAAAGTTTCTAAAGCTCGGTCGCTTTGCTCATCGCGTATGTTCCCTCAGACCCTGGAATTTCGCGCCCCAACATAAGATATACGTTTTATACAGTACTCTCTCAAAAGTTCTAGATATTTTACAATGCAAATACATTTACATGCTCCCTATTTTATGATTAAAAAAAACATATATAAAGGGCAAATGGTAAATGCAAAACCGTATAAAGTGATTTGTAATGGTTCAAAATTCAAAAGAAATTGAGCTATTTTTGCCCTTATCCCTCGATACGCCACCGAATATTACATTTTTTATAAATGATTTGACAACAGGGTCCACTTAATTAAAACACGTATCGAATCATGAGTTTGTCCTGGTGTACGTCTACCATACATGTGGTGTTCTGTAGGCCCGGGAGCGCATATTTTTGTTTACACAACTGTTTAGCCATTTTCGCGAAAAAAATCCTAGAAGTGCTCTGGTGAAAGAGTCTAACTCGTCAGCACACATGTACACCCAGTGCACACACCCATGGAAGGGCAGATGATAGAAAAGGGAAACCAAGGAGAGTGGAGAGGATATAGAGAAGGAAAAACAAGGAAATACACCAGGAAAGAGAAGAGGATAAGTCAAAGGAAGAACATAGAAAAACATAGCGGAAGAGCTAAGAGGATTATAGATTCGGGTATAGACTAAGGAAAAACAAAGAAATAGATGACGAAGAAGAACATGATAGATTGAAGTAGAAACAAAGAATTACATAAAACTGTAGTTGCTGGGTAACTTGCCTACTGGAAGGCCATAGGAGGCACCAACCAAAGACAAGCCAGACTGCTACGGATAATGTTAGACTCTGTTTCTAGTCGTTTGCACAGTATATTTACCTGAACTAGCTAAACAGTTGTGTAAAAAAATATGCGCGGCCCGGGAAGACCGATGGCCTACTGCTTTTGTTGTTATGGTCGTTATAACGGAGAGCCTTACGTTACCCTTACGATGAGATTATAAATTATAAGAGAAATTGTTTCAATATCCGTAATGATTACCTCTATTTATTTATTTTTGCTAGTAGGTAACCTATTGGGAACGGTTTGATTGCATGCAATTACAATTAATTATGATCATCTGGTAGTATCTGATTTATTTATCATTTATCTATCAACTCTGATGCTACCTTGATATGTTTAACTCCTGTCTTTTATTTTCACTACCGTCCGTCTTCCAACAATATCCTCTTCACCTGTCTCTTCTCCATCAAAATCAACTTCAGTTGGAGTCCCTTCAGGTTCCATAGCAAGCATCGTAGGAAGCGCTGTTGGTGCTATTCTTGTGATTGTTATCGTTATAATTGTCATCATCATCTTTTACAAGCGAAGAAGGTTAGAGAGATACCTTGTGCTTAACTTGTCCCTCTCATCAGTCCATTTTCATCGAGATCCTCCATGCAAGATGCTCTAACCGTATGGCCATGAAAATACAAATCTAAATATGATTGTATTAAAAAAAATATAGGCCTATATATGAAGTTATATTGTTGCCTTTTTCTTGTTTTCAAATGCTATTGAATGGAAATATTCTAAAGCATAACTCTTTTAGAATGTTATGGCAATCCGCTTGAAAAGACATATTATGTTAATGATATGCATTTTAAAATTACCATACCACTTACCACATTTAATTTTTACATGTTTCTATATGTCTATTTATTGGGAATTAATAATTTGTTTAATTATGTATTTCATCAAGGCAATTTATCTATGCTTTCATAATATTAACTTTCAGCGATGAATCAGCCCCTACTAGGTCTAAAGGGAAGGAGTCCGATTCGTCTGCGCAGTATGAGAACCCTGTATTTGATCCGTCAAAGACAGACGTCCATACCTACCAGGATCTGCACACTGATATTCATAACTACCAAGATGTTAATACCGATGCTAAGAGCTACGGTAATCTTGCTGACCCTCAGACCGACCAAAATCTAAAGGAACCTGATCAAGAAGCTATATACGAAGACATAAATACAGAATATGTCAACGTGCTCAAGAAGAATTGAATACATTAGAAAAAGGAAGATCCAAGTCAATCGCAATGATTTTGAGTTCTCAAGAATTTAAAAGACTTAAGAGGGATAACATATTTTCAGTCTTAATTTATTACAAATATATTTTCATTTTTCAATCATTTCATCAAGAAGCAACCATACTGTAAATCTAATCGCAAAATATTAAAGTTCATCTTAATAGCTGAAAAAAATCATTCTGATGGACTTGGGCGTTTTTTCTCATGTATCCAATTAGAATACCATGACGAATAGTTGTCAAAAACTATCATGGCTTTCTTTCCTTCATCCTGTGCTTCTCTTTCTCTGTTTACCTTGTCTACTCGCGTTATTCCCAAATCTTTTGATATCGGCGATCCCTTGAAATGTTCTTTTTTTAATAACATGATTCGCACAAGTTTGAAAAATTTGGGTAAAAACAGTTGTAGATCTTAGGTCACACTCTACATGAAAGTCAAGGTATGGGATGAGTTTATTTAAATGTACACATATATATATATATATATATGTACTTATCCCCGTTCATTGAAGTTTGTTTTTTACTATCATTTTCTGAATAATGTGAATGTATAGGAACGCATGAATCTTACATCATGGAGCAAGAAAGATATTTCTATTTCTGATTTGTTTTCCGCCCTTCTCTATCATGTGCTGAGGTTTCTGATGAAAACGATTTCAGGAAATAACAGATATGTTTTTGAATTATTCAATGCAGGTACAAGTATAAAGGAAAACGTATTGAATCATGTATATACACGTAAAATACGAAGGCATGTTCCATCATGTAAATCGTGTTTTGAGGTATCAGTAGGACAATGCAATATTCCGCTGTACTTGTTGTCTGCATGGGAGTACTAGTGTTGATGCCTGCTATTTCTAGTGTAAAGCATTATTACCCCACTGTTTGACAATAATGAATACATTATCAATCATTATTATTGTACTTATTCTTATCATTATTATCATTAGGCCTATTATTATCATAATTATTATCATTATTGTTATCATCGTTATCATTATCATTATTATTATTATTTCTACTTCTCCTAAACGGTGGAATTCAATTTGATAAATAGGTCAACGATAATGTGATAGAATGTAAACGATGAAAAACGAAAATATAAGTTGTAAATATAAACATAAACTACGCATCATAACATGTTATGTGAAAGCTTTGTGTCATGTAATGGTGGGTGTTTAGGAAAAAAATTGTAGATAGTAGAATTAGAAGTTAATTAGTAGAGTTAGATAATGCAATCCAAATCAAAATGTTTATATTTCCATATGAGCAGGAAATGTGTAGGCAAATATTAAATGTGAATACTGATAACTAAACGTATAGAACACACAATATGTATACCTTAAAGAAGTTTTAATAATAAAGAATACAACAAAAGATAGAGTTATTTTGTTTGGTGTGAGCTCGTCAATTAGCACTTTGAACGTTCCTCACCTAAAATTAATCCGTCTGATTATTAAGGCAGTGTGGAATTTGGCAGACTGTGCTAACAGTCCGCCGAATACCAGCCAGATTACTTTGCGGTAACAATTACATGTAATACAACAAAAGAATGCATTAAAGATAAAGTTAAGTTCTGGTCATGCGATTGCATTGTGAAAGAAAAGGTGTGGAATGGAAATCATGTAGCATGTAAATATTGGTGTGAACTGCAAGGTTCTGGAATCATCAAAATCATAATAAATTTAATGGTGGATGATAGTGTTGTTGAAAAGTAAATGTCAGGTTGATTTGCATTTACAGAAGTGTAATTGATGTTGTACTGCAAATTGTAAACACCGCGCCATCACACGTCATTTGTAGATCTCCATTCAGTCATACCATTTAATCTACCATGGCTTAGCAAAGTTTGTCCAAAAACCCAACAGAGAGGGCCTTTTTAATACTCATCTTTCTGGGGCCCGTTCTTTGATACCAACGACATGACAGTCACAACTTGATATGCTACGGAAATGTCTTTGATCTTCCTAAACCGTTTTTACAAAAAGCTGAATAGCTAGACATCTCATGATAACGATACTATTGGCGGGAAGAGGAGCCTAGGCTTTGTTTTTGAGATGGGTACCCTCAATTATTTTCATTTGATAGTTTAAGCAAAAATACAACTTTATAATTTTCGTAGTAAAAATACGATGCTATGAAAATTGCGGCAGGTGTTTTAGGCTTCAACAAAACAGTTAAACGACACAACGCAGGAAAGAGAAATAGGGAGAAAGAGAAATAGGGAGGAAGAGATGGAGAAGGAACAGCAGGACCGCAAGAAGTTTAATGAATACCTTGAAGCGATGAGGGAGACGTAAGTAGAATTTTGTTGTCTATCCTTCAACTCTAGAATGTTTCTGCTTCCTGTTTGTCCCGATTTACATTAACAAGCTATCTGCATTTGCTGACAACAGTACATGAAGATAACATTAGGTTTGTATAGTTTTTGTGACTTTGATATCTTTAAGTTTTTAAGTTCATACAAGATATGTCATATTTGTAAGACAGAAATTACCGAGAATTGAATGTAGATGTTAGGGGTATCTCTTTATGTATCGCGATCAAATATTTATCATGCCATACTTTGCAAAATTGCAGGAAATTTGATTGAATAGACAGCATGTCAAATAGATATTGAATAGATATTGAATATACATTGACATTTCCTTTCCCTTCTCTTCTTTTCTTCCTTGTCTCTCTGTTATTTTTGTTCCTCTCTATCTCTGTCCCTGTCTGTGTATGTGGGTGTGTGTGTTTGTGTGTGTCTTTCTCTCTCTTTCTCTCTCTATCTCTCTCTTTTTCTCTCTCTCTCTTTCCCTCCCTCTCCCTCCCTCTCTCTCTCTATCTATTTATCTTTCTCTCTCTCTCTCCCCCTCTCTCTCTCTCTCTCTCTCTCTATCCCTCTCCCTCCCACTCCCCCTCTCTCTCTCTCTCTCTCCCTCTCCATCTCTTTCTCTCTGGTAGGTATTCAGAGCAAGTGGTGGATACCCTGTCATCCATGGATCACAATGTCTTAGATCTAGATCTCACAGCTGAACTACTGCGCTACATCTCACTGCAAAAACCGGTAAGGTTGCTCACTGACAGTCTGTCATTACTTTCACCCTCTAAGAAATGCAAAGTAGAAAACTACATAAGATGTTTATATACCAGGATATTTGGAAAATGGAGAAAAATTGAGTTTAAAAATCATATTCATGTAATAATCCTGTTTAAAACAAAATACATATCAATTTATGCATGTTTCAATCCTTAAACCCCTTGTCATTTTATAAACCTTTTATAAATCATGGCATCTCAATGGTTGGAATCCACTTTGCATACATGTACATAAGTTGTTGCTATGTAGGGCAAGTCTCTGCCAACTGTCTTAGGTGTCAAGAGAAACTTTCGTTTAAAAAGTGTGCATACATATTAGTTAACAGGTGTATTCCTTATCCACTCTCAATGTAGTAAGCATTGGAACATTATTCCAACCACTCCCTTCAATCAGTTTACTTCATAGATCTTAATCATAAAATTGACATGGAGAAGTAACTATTTCATGCAATTTTGGAGAAAGAGGAGTTTGGAGTTAGACATCCTTAGCAAAGAGTAATAGGGCTTCATTTCAACAGTTGTGAATGAAAGTGTAGAAATACTACTTATGAACTATGATTAGGATCCACTTACCATTTACTGAGTCATCAACTATACAATGGTGTATCTCGATTGAGCTTGACCACACAGTGACTTCCTTGGTCAGTTTTATATCATTTTACCTCTACTCGTGTAGAGGTGTCATGGTCGAGTGGATACGTTGCCGGACTGTCGATCACAAGGTCCACGGGTTCGAGTCCCGCTGCAGCACCAATGTCCTTTGGCAAGACATTGATCTACATCATTTGCCACACTCCACCCATGTGAAGTAAATGGGTACCTGGTAGGAATTTATTCCTTAAACCAGAGCGTGCGTGACAGCTTCACTGCTAAAGCCAGTGAGGGTAATTATGCTGCATTATTGTAGAGTGCTTAGAGACTTCTGATAAAGTAAGTGTTAGGCGCCAATTAAGCAAATATAATTATTATTACTAAAACTCATTCACTATCCCTAGAGGATTCCAATTAGTGAGCAATCTTTTCTCCCCACCAGGAGGGTGCCATCCTTGTCTTTCTACAGGGGTGGGATCAGATCAGTAAGCTACATGACAAACTCACCTCCCAGACGCTCTTCTCAGAAGAAAGGTTCATCATCATTCCTCTACACTCTATGATGCCTACCATCAACCAGAGACACGTAAGTGCTAGCTTTGTCTACCACTCTTCCTCTACTCATCTCACCACTCTTTAGCAACGGAGAGCATCATAATCACTTCAATCACCATCAACTCCTTCCTCTCTTTTTCTCAAAACCCGAAAACATAATGACTATAAATACTTTCAACCTGTTGCCTTACATCGTAGATAAAAAAAATCCCTGTATTTCTAAGAGATAGTAGTTCACTTGACCTCTCAAAAGATAATTGAAAATATACCTCTACAATTCTTTTCTAACCTGTTGATTCTGAATTCTCTAAGTTCCATAGGCCTCATACAGGGACCACTTGGTTCCTGTATACAAAGGGTTAATTAGTACGTAGACCGAGGAACAGCACCTTTTATCCTTTTGAAAAGGTGTTCTGTAAATTCAATTCTTATAATTATTATTATCATTATCATTACTCTTTGATAAAGCTCCATTGAAAAATTGCAAGGCAATCTCATCTCATGATTCTTGGTTTACTTCCCGATTACAAGGCATTTTCGTCTTATCCTTGTCTTCCTTCCCGAGTGTGTTTTTTTTGCAGTTACCATTTTGATTTACATTTCTACTCTTTCCAATGCCTGAATTATCAGTAATTAGAGTTTGATGTTTTCTCATCGTACGCATGATTTATCATTAGGTATTTGAACATCCACCTCCCGGAGTACGGAAGATCATCATAGCAACCAACATTGCAGAGACTAGCATCACCATAGATGATGTGGTCTATGTGGTCAACCTGGGACGAGTCAAAGAAACCAACTTTGATGTGGCCAACAACATTCGGACGATGAAGGCTGAATGGGTCAGCAAGGCGTCGGCTCATCAGAGGAGGGGGCGAGCTGGGAGGTAAAGAACTGGGAGATGGTGTTTGAAAGAAAATGACAAGGATGTATTAATGGTGATGATGATGATTTTGATAATTATTTATTGAAGCTCTTTTGTAGATTCTATTTTCTTTGTCCCTATTAAAATTTCCAAATGTTTTTTTCAACATGCTGATGATAATGATTATGGTGGTGGTGATGATAATTATGATGTAATTGATAACTCGAAATTAATGTGCTTGATGATGATGACGTAGAGTGTACACAAAATAATCTGAAGGGGATTATTTATGATGCTGGAGGTTGTGATGCTGATGGTAATGACAATGTTGTTAGCACCAATGGTAAAGTTGGTCGAAATCATTATTGAGCTGGTGGTAACAATAGTATTTGTTTACCTGGATAGTAGACAGTAATGGTAATGTTAAAGTTACAATGAATACAGGCATGATGGGTGTATGAATAATTGAAAATATAATGATGGATGTTCATCATCATGATAATGCTGATGATGTAACTGTTCTTACATAAATGTATATACATGTAAATGAAATGGAATGGCAAAAAACACATTGGTGATGTTACTTATATATTTGGTATTTACATACATGTATGAAGAGGTGTCAAAGTCAAGTGGTTTAAACATTTGCTGGAGATATCAAGGTTTGATATGGAGCATTGTATTTATTTCCTTAAGCAAGGCATTTTATCAACATTGCTTCTCTCTACCCATGTGTTAAATGAAAACCTGGTATGATGTAAAAGTCAGTGTAGATTGCTCAGAAATGTGAGTGGCTGTTAAATGGTGCCTGGCTGGAATTCTCCCGAGGGATTGGAGAATGTGCATACATTTTATAGGATTATCCGATGACCTGTAAAGTGCCCAGGGTCATTGTAGTCGTATAAAGCTCTATATTAACCTAGAATATTAATATTATTGTATTATATTTTGTCTGAGCATCATTCTATTGAGTGTGTTCATTTATTTTCCCATGCAGGGTGCAGGATGGAGAATGCTTCCATGTGTACAGCCAGCTAAAGGCTTCTGAAATGGTGGAATACCAACTTCCAGAAATCAAGAGAACTCCCCTTGAAGAACTCTGTCTCAACATAAAGGTACCCTGATGGGCTTTTAAAATATTATCCTGCCTGTTTGGAGCCAGAAGGACGTTAAGTCAAATACATGTACTTTAACACAGTATTAACAAAGAATTTCTATCATCTTTTTTAAATTTCCGCTCATTTAAAAAACTTCAAGCATATCTGTATTAGTTTGGCCAGAAGGGATTAAACTTTCCTGCGTGGTCACTTGCAGGTAGTTATTTCATTAAATCAGTTCTTGATTAACAAAGAAAAAGGGGATCATGGGGGACCAACAGGTACCGCTTAGGCATTGTTGGCTATATAGAGGGCGCAATTAGCTACAAGTAGTGCAGTCCTGCTTTAAAATAGAGTACATAATACTTAATACTACGTTATAATAAAATTGTTTGTTTCTTCTCATATTCAGACCTTGAAGCTAGGCAGTGTGCATCCCTTCATCAGCAAAGCTATGGAAACCCCTGACATAAGGGCAATTCAGCTAGCCATCAGCAGTCTCAAACAAATGGTATCTCTCTCTGTTGCTTCTTGTAGTTACGACTTGTGCTCTTTCCTACAATGGGGGAAATAACAAAGGCATACCTGCCAACCATTTGTGTAATGGAGGAATGATTCCTAGTTATCTGCATTCAACATTATGTTATAAACTCTTCATTTCTCTAATTTTCTGAATATATCTGTCCTAAAGTATGCATTAAAACTACACATTATATTGTATGATGTCTGAGGAGACTCCTAATACAGTCAAACCTGCCTATAGCAACCGCCCAAGGAAAACACAAAAGTGGTCTTTGTAGACAGGTTCCTTTGTTGCAGTTCTCTTCTTTTCCTCTCTTCTTTTCTCTTTCTCCAAGCTCTCTATCCTCCTCTCCTCTTTGCCTATCCCTTTCTTCCTTTCTTCCTTTCTCCCATTTATAATGTATAATTGTATTTATGTATTCGGGCGTACCCACTACAAGCTATGCTTTTCGGGTTTCGCGCCTTCTTCCTTGTAATACAAGTTCTTTAATTATATTTATGTTCCTACTTATAAATTGTATTGTTTGGAAGAAAATAAATGTTCATTTGAATGAAATGTTCATTTGAAGTACATGTTTCAATGAGAAACTATTTTCAAGGGTAACAAAAAATGTGGTATTTGTAGACAGGTGGTCACTAAAGCAGGTTTGAATGTATTTGTAGTGGAATTTTGGCAGGTTGGTAGAAGAACTAAAAATGTTTTTGAGTAATAGTTATGACAGTACAAGTCAAGCCAGGGCAACTCTCCATTGGAAAGATCATACATACATTTAGAGTGGGACATACAGTGTATTCCCTAAATCTTGAGACATTCCAAAGTTTACAGTGTGAAGAGTAATGAGAATGCTTGGGACATCTTGACAGCCCCGTAATATAGAAGAGACGACATAGATTAAAATACAAGCCTCTTACTTATACTATTCTCTTGTATTTTGTACCTATTCCACTTTTAATCTAAATCTAGGGTGTTTTTCAATCACTCTCCCTTTGACTTTCTCCGTTTATACACTATGTCTCTCTTACTTTCTATTGCTCTATTCATATGTGTCTTTATCATTGTTTCCAGAGAGCTTTGGTGAGGAATGAAATCTCCAGTCTGCATTTCTTTTTCTTCTGTACACTGGTAGTCTTCTATAATTTTATTGTCTTTCTTAAATCCGTGTTTATTTATAACTGGGATAGGAGTGGAAGAGAGACTTGACTGATTACTTTCATAGTCTCATTGGGTTTGTTGAGAACTTTTGTGAGTATCTTGAATCTTGCATATGTGGTACACCATGTTTAATGTACTGTATGTATTTGTGTTTTTAGAGAGCCTTTGATGATAACGAGGACCTGACAGCTTTGGGATACCATCTATCTCGTCTTCCGGTGGAGCCTCGTATTGGTAAGATGATGCTGTTTGGTGCCATGTTCTGCTGTCTGGATCCTATACTCACGATAGCAGCTTCCCTCAGCTGGAAGGATCCATTCTACATCCCTCTCGTAAGTAATGTCCTTTTTTTTGGAATAACTATAGTGCTTATTTAGCGCCTAACACTTACTTTATCAAGTCTCTAAGCTCTCTACAAATAATGCAGCATAGTTACCCTGGCTTTAGCAGTGCAGCTGTTACGCGTCTGCGTTTCAATTAATTCCTACCAGGAATGTAATACAGTGAAACCTGTCTATAAAGACCTTCCAAGGGAGACAAGAAAAGTGGTCTTTATAGGCAGGTGGTCTTTATGTACAGGTTTCTATAGTAAATGTTTCAATGAGAAACCATTTTCAAGGGAAACAAAAAAGTGGTCTTCGTAGACAGGTGGTCTTTCTGTACAGGTGGTCACTAATGCAGGTTTGACTGTAGTAGTACATTCACTTCTCATGATCACTACAACCAAACTGTTCTATGGAGGCCATGGTTGTGAAATGAGACACCAGGGGGTTGTTTCACAAAGATCCGAAGTTGAACTTATCTCTAAGTTGGACTTAACATTTATGGAAAGCCGTTAGCATCTATAAAAATATTTTGTAAAAGTTATTTTAAAAGGAATAAAATGTTGATTCAAATCATTCATATTTTCTATTATCAAGGTGATTTCATGTTCTTGATGTGGAATTCTTAAAAAGACTAAAATACTTAAATTTTCACTTTTGAATACATTTTATTTTAAGGCTACAAATGGCTCTCCATAATTTTTAAGTCCAACTCAGAGTTAAGTTTGACTTAGGATCTTTGTAAAAAAACTCCCCAGGCTTCTTTAGACACATCGTAAGATCAAAGGGTATGGTGCAGGAATTCAAGCTTGGCAAAGACCAAGTGTAGGGTAAAAAGAGAAGAGGAAGGCAAAGGATTAGATGGATAGAAGGTGTGACCAGAGAAACTGACCAGTCATTATAAAGAGATATATGCCCACATGTCCATGTACTAGCACTGGACAGAGTAGCCTGGAGAGGGTTTGCCCATGGTGTCCCCAGGGACCCGTTTCACAAAGCCTTTTTTCCATGACAAATGTCAAAAATCAGTGACAAATCTGCTTATAACCAATCAGAAGCAAGGATTTTACATAACAAGAACTGTCATTTGTCACTGATGACAAGTTTTGTGAAATGCCCCCCAGGAGTCCAGGAGGAGTCGATGGCACTTAACAACAACAATGAGAGTCTTTGAATACATATGGAATGGAATGTCCTCAATATAAGACACATATCTCATAATCTACCCCACAAAGTGAATGTACAAATTGTAAGGGCTTTGTTTGTTTAAATTATGAAGAAAACAATGATTCCATCTTGGATTTCTGTGATATTCTAGATAATACAATTTAATTGTGTCAAATGCTATGATAACCATACTGAAGATTTCATTTACACTGTAGACCACTTGTTATCATATTATGATAGTTGGACTTCTTATAAAGTAGCTTTGTTAAAAGGAACCAACATGTAAAACCACCTCTTAAACTGCATCTGGCTAATGAACTTTCACCCATCATCTTTCTGGGCAGGCGTACGCCATAAGTAGCAATTTGGACATCATTATATTCCTTCCACACATTGTACATAGTTATAAAGATCCTAGGTTTAGGAATAATGACTAATGATCGGCCAATTGCAATTCTTGGTTCCAAAGCTGTAGTTTTCATGTCCTACAACCTTTCACTATTTGAATTGTTTTCTGCTATAACCTAGGGTAAGGAGAGACTCGCTGATGAGAGGCGTAGGGTGCTGTCCAACAACACTCGCAGTGATCACCTGATGTTAGCTAATGCTATGAGTGGCTGGGAGGATGCTAAGGAACACAGAGGAGAGGGATCCTACTGCTGGCAAAACTTCATGTCTTCAAACATCCTCAGTGTAAGCCTCCCTTCCTCTTCAACTACATGTAATTGTGTGATTGATTTGAAATTCAGATTTGTAACTAGTTTTGAGTTCTGGCAATGACATTTCATTTCATGCAAAACAGCCCTAATTCTGAATTATGAATGAATAGAGGATGTGGCAATAGTGTTTTTAAAACAGTATGGCTTTCACCCATTAGCAACTAGAGATTTTGTAAAAATGGCATATTACTCACTGGAAGATGTTGCAATATTGCTCTCATTTTTACATTGTTCTGAACAATATGAAACATGCGCTATTTTTCAATGCAAAATCTTACTGTAGACATTGTAAGGATTACGCACGTATAACATTATCACGGTAGACCCTAGAACGGATACTATAGCGTGTTGAAAATGGAAGGGCGGTTTTGGGCGGTTCAGTGAGTAAAAGGAGGGGTGGTCTTGGGCGGTTTAGTTGCTAAGGGTTAAAACTAAAATTTGAATTTAATTTCTGTCTCTCCTACAGATGCTGAGCAAGATGAAGGGTCAATTCTGTGACGTCCTGCATCGCTTGAGGTTTGTCTCCAACAGATCACCCAAACACATTGATGCAAATAGAAATTCAGGTAGGTGACAACTCTTGGAAGTAGTGAATATTTTATTATTAATCTATGTGTTATTGTTATTACATTGATTTAGTGTTTAAAGCTTCCTTTTTCCCTATTAATAACAAAATCTTCTCTTTCTTTCTTTCTTTTTCTCCTCTGTTACTCTTCATATATTGTAGATCTAAAATTTGTTTATAGCTATTTGTGTCTTTCTCTCTTCTCTTCTTTCTTCAAAACATCTCTGTGATATATTTTCAGTCTCACTTAGTAAACCTATTTTTGTTTCCTCAATCTATTCCTTATTAAGTCTATGGTTTCCCCTTCGATATCTGGAAAACGCTTAGAGATGGTAACAAACTGATGCACTATTGCCCTGTGATATATGTATAGCGCTTAGAGATGGTATTCTGTTTTAACAGCTAAATAAATCAGATTTATCATTATTAGTACAAGTTTTTTCTTCTTTCAAATCTCAATAGAGTGGTGAAGTGTGACGTCATCAAAAATCTATTTGTAGAATTTCTCAATTTTTTCTTCATATTCCGAAAGAGCATACAAAATAATGTCTGAATGTCGAAAACCAATTGAATGTATTAAGTATTGGCCGAGATATGACCATCTAAATAAATAAATGTCCTATGGGAACTCAGTGTTATAGTGCTCTGGTTCATAACATTAGGAACCTGAGCACTATAACACTGAGTTCCCATAAGACATATATTTATTCAGATGGTCACATCTCAGCCAATACTTAACATGTTCAATTGGTTTTCGACACTCAGACATAATTTTTTATGCTCTTTTGGAAAATGAAGAAAAAATTGAGAAATTCTAAAGATTGTTATGATGTCACAGCTTTGGTACTCTATAGATCAGTTGTAGAGCAGTGATCTTGTAACCATGAAGTCTCTGACTTAAAACCAAACTGATGCCCTTATGAGCTTTAATAAGGTGTGAACCTTAAATTGCTTAGTCCTTTTGATAGGACTGTGAGTTGTAGGTCATCCACAGGTTGCCCATTTATGAGGGCTCCTTCAGATATAACATGATGACCCACCTTAACAAAATCCCAATTTAAAAAAAAAACATGTAAAAGAATGGCAACTGCACAACAAAGGTGCTATGTGTATTTACTTATCTCTGTGGTACAAGATACAGAAATATGACTCCAATTCCACTGAACGTCGTCAGAAAAAAACACACAGTTTTGGCGCGTCATATCTGAATGAGGCTTAAGCATATTATAATCACTCTAAATTGTTGCGAATTATTTTTTTAGAGAATGAGCAGCTTGTGAAGGCAGTACTGTGTGCTGGTCTCTACCCAAAGGTTGCCCACGTAGATAAGGTGCCTTTCAATCGAAAGACGGGACAGAATAGGTGAGTCTAACTTAATGTACCATCCCTCATGTCATTTAATTTCAAAAAATTCCATCTAAAGTGAAAGACAACTCTAATGGTCCTTCGTGCATGATTTTGTTTTACTGTTCTGTATTTTCCTATGTCCCTGTTCTGTCTTCTATAATGTAAGGAAACAAAGAATTTTTAAATAAACATTAACGTTTAACCCATTGACTACTGAATTCTCTTATTTCCATAGGCTTTGATACAGGGGCCAACCTAGTTTAGGTAGGAAAAGGGTTTTAGAAGAATAGTACAACTTCTGTTCATAATGCAGTACAAGTAACTCTAAAGTCACAGATATCATATTACTTTACATGTATAAGAGTACAATGTATCATCTAAGATATTCCTTGAGGTTGTCATGACTTTTATCCTCTTGCTTCCCATAAACCTGCTTTCCTTCAGCTACAATTTTTGTAAAGTTGATCAATAACTTTTTTCTTTTTCTTCAGAGAAGATACAGTTAAATTCCTTAAAAAAGGGGAAAAAATAGCAAAATAAACAAATGCATTTCTTGAATGACAAACAGTTGGGGTGTTGGGGTCGTCTATAATTTTTGGGAAGATTGAATATAGTAACGAGAGACTTTTTCACACTGCTAACAAGTATGCTTAGCAATTTGAGCCTAGTAGCTCTTGATGGAATGCTCCCCAGGGAGTGAAGAAAGTGCATATACATTGTGCGCGGGCAAGCCATAATCCGATGACCGGGGTAATAACTGTAGAGGGCTTAGAAACTCAGACATTGCTGATGTATTAATCGCTATATATGCAATGATGTTATTATTTATTATTATTATTTATCTCCTTTTCAGACCTCCAAGGCTAAGCACCCCAGAGGATGGTCGAGTTCAAATCCACCCTAAGTCTGTCAATGCAAATGAAACAACCTTCAGCAGTAAATGGTTGCTCTACCATCTCAAACTCAAGTCAACAAGTGTAAGTTTGCCCACTCTATCTTGTAGGTAAGGTGTAGCTTCAAGGAGATGCTGGGAGGGATCACTGTAATGATTAGTTGATCATTTGATAATCACATTTGACAGATGTGAACATAGGGGAGCATTGTAATGACATCCAATTTGAGTTCAATGCGATGGACAGTATTGGTAAAGTCAAAGGGGTCAAAACCTGGGAAGTGTTTCAAAAAGACTAAGATCGACTTTCAGTTGGAGTTAAACAGGCCTTTCATGCCACTATTTTCTCTCATCATTTACTCCAGACATCGGTTTTTCAAGGGATGTAAAATTATGGTCACAAATCTACATTTTTTAATTTTTTTATTGTTCATTATTGAAGGAAAATATATATCATCTAAAGATCATAATCAAGAGACCAATGGAGATATCAACCAGTGGCATGAATGGCCTGCCATAGTTAAGTCTTACTTAAAGTTGATCTTAGTTTTTGTGAAACACCTCCCAGATCTAGTTTTTAATTATTCAACCTTAATGAACTTTCAAAACTACTTGATATTGAATTTGGTCCAGAGGAGCAGAGATGAATACATTTTGACAGAATTCAAGACCATGACCAGCACTACATATTACCCTTAACATACTTTTTGTACACACAGCATTGATGCATAGAAATCACATTGAAATTAATTTTGTTGAATATATTTGAAACCACATGATAGATCTTTAGTGATTGGCATGATTTTGGCAGAACAGAATATTCACGCTGTTCTTTCTTGAAATTTTAAAAGAGTAGGAGTTTCTATTCCTCGAGTTGGTCTGTATAGTATAGATGTGTTCCTCTTGATTCTGAAAATCCTTTCGTGTTGCCAATTTACTGGACAGGTCTTTCTCCATGACACTACCATGGTTGAGCCTTATCCCTTGATCTTCTGCGGCGGTAAGATCTCCTGGGACGATGACCAGGGCCATGAAACGGTCTTTGTGGATGACCACATCAAGTTTCACTGCTCTCAGGAGACGGCACATCTCGTCATTGTAAGTCACAGCAGCAACAGTTCTATATTAAACATAAGAAATTTGTGCATGCATGAAATAAATGATTGAATTACACACTTAATGATAATGATGATAATATTATTAATAATAATACAGCGCTTTTGTAGCCCATATCACTGCCATAGCATGTCTATTCGCTTAAGATATAAAAGTGAGAAATCTATGGATTCTATTTTTCAATATTCAAATGTAGTCGAGGATGGCAAAGCTTTTTAAAAATAAATTACTACCAAAATAGCAACCTACAAACAAACCATCAAACAACATGTTAAACAATGAATGATTAAAATCCTTGAGTATCCTCTGTCTGTTCCTTGTCTTTTCTGTGTTTTGTAGAAGTTACGTGAGGAGCTAGACAGAGTCATGGAACAGAAGATCACCAACCCAGGACCCACCAACTGGAGTCCGGCAAGCCATGAAGGCAGAGTCATGAGGGCCATCATCGACATCCTCGTCATGCAGTCCAGAGATACCTACGATAATGATGATCAGGGATTCGTACACAGCGCTAGGGGCAATAACAGGCACGGTGGTAATGATGATGATGATGATGATGACTGTTATGATGATGAAGCTGGTGAGGCTGGTGGTGGCCGACAATATGGACGGTCCGGAAATAGGTACAATAATGATGACAGGCCTGGAAGCAGTCATTGGAGACCAGACTCGCATCGTAGGAGAATTCAAGGAAATCCACAACAAGGTTTCTGGACTCAGAAATAATGTTGCTTGATAATTGAGGTTGACATCAGAGTTCTTATCCTGGATATCCTCATATTGAACTCTGAATTCATGAAACACGTACAGTTGGGGTTAACATCATGGCCGTTATAGATGGAGTCTACTAACTGGAGTCGATATCGATAGCATTAATGCAATTGAGTTTCACATCGATAGGAGACATTGAGGAAACCTTGATCAGTGACAGTGGACTCAGTTGATGACGCATGTAACTCAGGCTCACACTGCAATTAACATTGAGGAATTTCTCACACCCTGGACCCTCAATCTATGGCACATGGTTAAGTGTGATTCATGATATAGGAGACATTGAGGAAAACCACATACATACTGTACCTTTATCTGCAGTACATACTCGTACAACTCACAACATTGAAGAAATTAATAAAATTAACTGGGGTACAGTTTGTGACCAAAGAATGAGATGGTGCTTAATGCTCAAACTCTAGATTTATGATGATGTTTGTGGAAATAAGTTTCATTGTCTTACCCGGTTTCGATGAACCACTATTATTTATGTAGAGTACCTTACAAAAGTGACCTTCAGTATTCCAATGCAAATTTTCACATAGGTCGATCTATTTTCTTGGAAAAACTACATTGTATTGTAGTCCTTCAGTTCACAGAATATTGACTTAAGACTGCATGCAAAGGGTTGGCAGCACAATGGCTGAGTGATAGAGCAGCGTCTCATAAATGAGAGGTCCTGGGTTTGACACCAAGTCCCTTGGATAGCACTTGAAGATGTTGGTCTCCTGGTTCCTTAGTTACAAGGATACACATGCCTTCTTAGCAATCAGGTAAAATAAACCATCAGTCGAACCAAACCAAACCAATAGTGAAACGGTCTTTGTGGATGACCACATCAAGTTTCACTGCTCTCAGGAGACTGCACATCTCGTCATTGTAAGTCAGAGCAGTAACAGTTTTGTAAAATGAGAACTTTTGCATGCATGAAATAAAATGATTGAATTACACACTTGATGTTTATGTTTGATAATAAAAACATTAACACTACAGTGCTTTTGTAGTGCATATGACTGCTGTAACTGGGAGGTCCAGGATTTGAAACCAATTGGATGTGTAGGTGCCTTGTGTTAAGGCATTAATTCTCATCACCAAGTCCCTCAGAGAGCACTTGAAGATGTTAGTCTCCTTGTTCCTTAGACACAAGCATGCATTTACTATAGCCTACTTCACAATCGGGTAACATATACCATCAGTCAAGCAAAACCAAACCAATAATCTCTTCTAGGAAGTACATGTACCTGTACTTTATATCCATCACTGTGACAATCTCACTACGATTATTTATGTAGTAGTTATTATCTTACCTTCTCAATACAAGTCATGTAGATTATTTTTAAATTCTGTATACTCACAGGCTGAGTAGAGTTTATAACTATTTCCAGTTAGGTTCACTGGTTTTTATAATACAATTTACATAATTTATGAAGGGAATATATTTCACAAAAAGCTCTTTTGATAAAATGGAAATTTTGCCATGTCAGTCTCTTTTCTATGTTTGTATTCAAAAAATATTTTGTATATGGTTGAGTTACAATGTACTGACAGAATTACATTTAGAGTTTGAGAAGCAATCGTCTGTTTGGAGGTTGTGTCGTGTCGAGCTAGACCGTCTAGCTTGAATTTTACCTCGCGTTTACCTCGTGTTCATGCTTTGTCCTCTACAGTAGACAAAGGATGACACAAGGCAACCTCCTCACGTTTTTCATAGATCTAAACAGGGTATTATTCTGCATGCATCCATTGTTATCTTCAGGAGCATCATTGCATCTTTGCATTGTACATGCCATTAGAACTATGTATGCCTAGTCAATATTTTATGCTATACTGCACAGCAGTTAGTAGTGATTTGTCATGCCTGCAATTCTGACCAATCAGGCCTAGAGTTTTGACATGTGGTATATAAAATTATGTCTGTTGTTTACATGAATATACATGCAATGGTTAAGTCAGCATTTGATTTTTATGCTGGGCAAAACAGTTTCTGAAATGCTTCTTAAAGTTATCAACACTTAATCTCCTTTTGTTGTATTGTTTTGTATTCCTTTCCAAATGTTAAATTGTTAAATGAAAAAATAAATGCCAATTTGAAAGAAGCCCTTAGAAATGATGAATATATGCTGCCCTTTCATGCTACTTCATGTCATGTGACTCATATTGTGCAGACACAGTAAAGAAAGATAATGAGAAAGTATAAGCTGAGAGAGAGAGAGAGAATGAGAGAGAGAGAGAGTATGGAAAGAGAGAGAACTGTGGTACAGACAGGAAGAGGGAGAAAGAGAGAATGTGTGTGTGTGAGAGAGAGAGAGAGAGAGAGAGGGAGAGAGGAAGAGAGTATATAAAGAGAGAGAGAGAGAGAGAACTGGTACAGAGGGAGAGAAAGTGAGAGGAAGAGAGTATTATGCAGAGAGAAAGGTGGTTCAGACAGGGAGAGAGAGGACGAGCAAAGAGAAAAGAGAACTGGTACAAACACAAAGAGAAAACTGTGGTACAGAGAGAGGGAGATAGAGAGAGAGAAATGGAGAGGAATGTGGTACAAAGAGGGAGAGGGAGATTGGAAGAGAGATAAAGAGAGATAGGGATAGAAATAGAGAGAGAAATGTGGTACAGAGAAGGTGGGAGAGAGAGAGAGAGAGAGAGGGGGGGGGGGTGTTAGCGAGCGAGCTAGGAATGGCAAATGATTGGGAGAGGGGGAGATGGGGGAGCAGCTCCCCATATTTTAGGAACAAATTAGGGAAAAAATATTAAGACCTTCGTGTCCAAGAGCTAGTGCCCAGAACATAATTTGCACTCTAAGCACTGGGCGTCTGCCGGGATTAAACAATTGGACAACTATAAGACAACCGATAGCGGAACTACAGGCAAAACCTGTGATCTAAGGTCATACTCCTTTAAAAAAGTCAGAAAAATCAAGGTAAGTCCCGTAAAACTTGTAACATATCATGATCATTGCAAAAAATCATGTAAAAACATTACTTATTAAATCATTACTTTTTATATCCGGAGAGAGGAGATTATCAGCGCTGAAGACAAGTTCTTTTGGAAAGCGGGGCGGTATTATGAACCCTGTGTTATCTCTAATATTGTTGTATCTTTGAAGATAAGATATAGTTGGTATTCTGAAAATTGTTGTAACTTTTCTCTCATCTCTTTGGCCGCGCCTGCGCTCAAACTGGGTTCCAGTTTAATTGCATGGAAACCAATATCCATGGCCACAAAATCTGAAGTAGAGGGTGAGGAACGATACATTTCTTGATAGTTTAATTTCAGTAATTTCAGGCCACGCCAAAGAAACGCAACAAACGTATGTGCCTATATTCTATTAGCAAGTAAAGACTATATGATCCAATGATATAAGCATGATAGATTTCATTCTTTATATCAATACATTGTAGAGACCTTCTTACTTTCTAGTTTCCAGTTTGATTAATCAATGCCGTTGACAGGCGAGAATCTCTGGCCGCTTCAGATCTCCGGAGTAAATACAGGAGTTTACAGCTGATGGCTGTAAGCATCAAATGAATATTCACTTTGTCTTTTACTGTATCCTCTTGCCTTTTTTAAAAATATAACAAAAGAAAGAATTAAAAAAGGTCTGAAATTAAACTGGGGAATGGCACTTCATCTATTATGCACAACTCTATGCGCAGCCGGAGATCTGAAGCGGCCGGAGCTGCTCGCCTGTGACACCGTTCGACCCTGTTAAGGAATATATACTGTAGCTGTACTAGCTGTAGCATCACCTTCACTTGTCAAATTCTACCTGTCCTAGTTAGTATATTTACTCTCTTATAGTAACAAATAAGGCCATGTCATAATGAAGCCATGATAACAAATTGAAAACAAAATTCTGAACGTCTGATCGTGAGTCCAAGTTAATGACTTATTACTTTGCGAATGATCTCAATTGAAGAAAGATCAAAGCCAAAACAATATTTTGAAGAGACAATGGTCTACATACCTCACAGAAACATTAACCAGCAACATAGACTTTTGAAAAAGAAGAAGAAACAACAACGTATATTATAATCAATTCATGCTTTGTTCGAACAAAGGAAGTGAAAAGAATCAAATACACTAAACACCATTTTACTCCTCTTCTCAATCGCTCTTAAGATCTAAAACAAGATATAGTGTATGTACACACACCCATAGACACGCACACACACAGACACACACAATACACACCCACACATCCACTCACATATACACCAACCCACACACGCTCTCGCACACAGATCCCACATACACCGGCCCACATATACCCACCAATTATTGTGTGGACCTATATTACATATTAAAATATACCACCGCTATAAAGACAACACTATATACAAAGTATAAAAAGGAGTAGAAGGCAAATAAGTAACCAATGGAATCAATAAGTGCGTTCCGTGAACAATCCTAATTATGATAACATCATGTTATCCAGTTTCTGCAACGTTCCGCCTTGATATCCGGCAGCGTAGTGGTATTTTCCCCTTTGGATGAGGCAAATCTTCTAGCTGCAAAGTGGGGATCAAACACAATCTATCGGAGCACGCTGCTGGTTGTTCAATGACGTAGTTTGAATCGCATTTGACTAATGAACACGTCGTTATATGCTTTAAAAAAGATTTTATACTGTCTAGGACGACTAACTAAGGTATAGACCGGACTCAAATTTTGCATTTTGTCTGAACTAGGAGGGAAATACGACAAAACCACAAGTGGTGCAAAATTAAGCTCGGCCGAACTTTCTTCTTGGTGGATAATTTTATATTGGAAAACCCCATTTTATGAGTGACAACAAATTGTATCCATGACAAATTAAAAATAGGACCTGAGACTAGATTTTTTAAAGCAAGGAAACACTACGCCTGAATATAACCTGGACAATTTCATGCTGCATCGTTGATGGTTCCTAGATTACAAATCTAAATCAGTTCATTCTGTTAATCTGTTGATGAGGTTCGCTCAACTATTCGTCTTCAAGGTGTTCAAGGTCCTGAT